GACTTTTAAAACTCATAGTAATATTTCTATATACAATGTCAGAAGGGTGATGTGGTGAAAATAATCTGCTCAGAATTCGTACTTGCATTTGTTTGCTTGTGTTTTTAATTGCTATCTTGATGCGATTTTTATATCACTGTTTATTATTCTTTTAGGTTCATAGGGACAGCACAAATATTTAAATTGTGTGAAATGTCACTTCAAAATGTCTGTATTTTGGCAGAGATCATAGTAAAGTTACACACAAATAATAGTCCTAGTGTTTTGGATGTCCAGTTTGTGTGTGCTTGGTGTGTTTATAAAATGTCCCTTTTATTCAAACTCAAATGTATGTATATATGTAAGCAAATTGTACCACACCATAACATCGCACAATGGTTAAACACCTGGTGACACAAATTCTACCATGCGAAACCCCGATGAGGGATTTCAGGCCCGGCATTTGGGGCATGGACAAAAGACTGGCAGATGCTCGAGGCTCAGAGGATAGGCAAGACGGACGTTTAATCAGAATGCTACTGGCACCATTAATATCGGAACTCTTCGCTGGCTGCTGAAAATGGGGATGGAGCGCTTATGGGAATACCCCGAAGGCTGTGATGTCGGTTCTTGAATTGAATCAAATCAAATCAAATCAAACAACTGGATGCAAACCGTTGTTCCCACATTGTCTTTCTGATACATTTTCTTGCTTTGCCTCGCGTGTTTAAGCTGGTGGCTTTTCTCAGGCATCTTATATCACAGGTCAGGTTAGCTTTTGGTAATGTTTAATAGTTACTGGTGTTCCATAAATTATGTAAACAGAGATTTCGTTTCATAACTTCATAAGCATTCAGATCGCCTTCAATAGATAGTACGGTCAGAGAATTAAAACCACGAACTAGCTCCTTATGTAGTTCCATAACAGCGGTAGCACATTGGCTAAAATATTTTCCTTTTAGTTCATGTCCAAAATAAAATCCTCACCTGCACAGTCGTGGCGACAGCACTAGCCATGCGGTCGTAAATCCGCAGGCTCAAAGACCTATCCTCCCCCCCCCTCCCCCCGCCTACATTGCAAAAGTGGTATAATAACAATCAGTAATTGGCAGTTTTCAGATCAACCGTAGAAAGGTTGCGTTCACAACTGACTGCATGTTGATGTTAACATTGTCTCTGATATTCTATTCGGCACAAAATGAAGCGAGTCAACCCGGCCAATGGACAAGCCACTCAGTCTCACACTCAGTTCATGTCCTGCTTCTTAGCTCGTGATGTATATACTAGCGAAAGCCTTTCTGTCGACAATAACGTCTTTTTTTCAAAAGTCTACGAAACCTGTGTGAATCTTATATAGATGAACTGGCTTTATTGTTTCAATTCTGCTGTAACCCATAGCTAGGTCTGTGGCGGAAGTCAAGGGAAAACCAAAACTGAAACTTTCCGTGATTGGTTTATGGGCATTACATACGTCTGAACTGGGTGAGTGATGTAGTCTAAAATGTCAGTAGTAAGTAAAGGACATGTCCCTGCCATTGAAGTATATGATGCTAGACCCATATGTTATAGATAAATAGATCAATAATGGGTCAACATCACGTCAGCCACCTTTACTTCCCAAAACTTCTGCATGAATCCATTTAAGGTTCGACAACCTGGAAGCCTGGTTCATTGTCAAAATCTGCCTCGACGAGGATTTGAATCCAAGATTTTCGGTTAGGCAAGCAAAAAGCTTCCCTTGGGCTACTCCTAAACACACGTCCAAGGGTACCTCGGTGTGCGTCCTTAACCCCTTCCTGATCCTTGGACGTATACCAGACAGTACATATATCAAACGAATTCGGTACTTTCTTATCAGCCGACCACAAACAGGGGAAATCCACAGGTCACGGGACAGACAAATATTTCAGTATAGTTTTGGTTAGGGTTTGTTTGTTTGTTTGTTTGTTTGAGTATCCAGAAGCCTTGAGTTGTTAACCCTTAGGCTCGGTATTATGGATATCGCAACCTTTCGGCCTTGATTCCATTGTAAATACCGTAAATCTGGGAGAAAATGTGGCTTTCCTGCCTACCCCCGGGATTGAACCCGGACCACAAGGAGTACGTCACCCGGTCTCCGCGAAATCCGGTTTAGCCAATTCCGCTAGAGAGCCGGGCTGGTTAGGGTTTCGGTTAGGGTTTCGGTTAGGGTGAGGTAAACGCGCCTAAACCTTGGCCTTGGAAGAAACAATGAACTGTCCGTGACGTTATTTGTGGTCGGCTTAAAAAAAGCACCGAATTTTCCTATCAGAAATAAAGGGGGACTGATTAATCGTTCCCGTCAAAATTAAAATCCTTATATTATTGGAATATTATACATTGTTGGGGTATAAATTATTTAACAACCTATGTTTTGTATATCTGTAGCACATGGAGTTTTGTAGCGAAAGAATGAATCAATAAATAAATACAGCGACGTTTTGGAAAAGCATCCGTTTCTGCATTCGGGACCATTTAAGCGCGCACAAGGAAACACAGGCATCCAGGTTCAAGCACACTAACGCACACACAATCACTGGCGTATGCACAAGCACACACATAACCAATGCATGCCTTGGGGGTGGGGGCGTTGAGGGGGGGGGGAGGAGGGTCATGATTCTCTGATTTTTGCGGTCCTAACAAGTTTGTCATCTCTGTCTTCTTCTTTTTCTCCTTTGCGATTACCTGCTGTATAACTCAGACTGAAAGTCTGGTTGTTGGTCCACTTCGGACTGAAGTCTTGTTTCAGAACTTGAGTTTTGTGCGCACCTAAATTGCACAGATCTTACGTTTGTGTGCAGACTATAGGTTTCTCACCTCTTCGGCAGATGTACTCAAACTTCGAAGGAAACATCCCTAATTAGTTAAGTTTTTACGGGTGCAGTGGTGGGGGAGGGGGGGGGGAGAGGTTTTTTTTTATATAAAGATACTTCCTTGTCAGTGAGTTAATCGAAAGAATATCCTCTGCACATCGAACAAGTCAAAAAGCGCTTGGATCCTTCTTCTTCTTCAGCGATCTCTGGTCATGCGCATAATCCACTGTGGGTCATAAACTGGGATGTCTTTTCAAGGTCTCTTAGGTTTCCCCAAAGCTTAGTTGTCAGTTCTACTGGGTGTTGCCATATGTTGCTCTGCAGCTCCGCCGGGAGAGGACAGTCTTGCAGGACAAGTTCTGGAGTCTGTTCAGCACGAAGGCACTGGCAGAGAGCTGTTTGGTTCTTCCCTGGATTGAGGTGCGTCTCTTGAATGCAGATAACATCGATTTTCTCTGCTCGCAGGCATTTCTCTAGTTCTCTCTTTTTGTTAAATACACCTTCGGCGATCCATTGCATGATTACGAGTGGTGGAAGTGTGTCCTCGCAGTTAGAAGTGACACCCTGTCCTCGCCTAGCAATGCAGGAAGCCGCGGGGCTTGCATCCAATATTTAGTATATCCCCCAGCGCGTGGCGAGTGATAACACCAGTTCTGTGTTGGTTTACTATGCTTCTTTGACCGCTTGTATAGTGTTAATAGATATTTTAATGTTATTGTATTTAGAACAGAAAAACGTGGATAAGACGTATAGTTTCATGGTAAATGGATAAAAGTATAGTATTGACTTTAGTCGATTATTATTACTTTTGTTTTATGAATGTGTGCACACGTATGTGTGCAAATATGTAGAGACACAACGTTGAGAACACTAACAGACACGGACACAAAACCATAATTTCAATTACCTTTCAAATGGCGACACCACAAGTATGACACCGTAAAGGAAGGCTCAGTCTAACTATCATTGATTGATTGTGGAGGTTAGTCCTGTTTTCTAATTAATTTTTAAATCTAAGTGGGTTCCAGTCAGCATTAATTCAGATTTTTTACTGTTGTCGTAGCAGATCTTGGCTCCCATGTAGACAACATTTAAAAAATGGGTACTACTTGGTAAAGTCCTTTGAAGTAAATGCGGCCAGAGTTATGCTGACCACGAATCCGGCTCGCTAGCTCAGTTGGTTAAACCTGACTGCACGGCGACCAGGTGACGAACTCATTGTGGTCCGGGTTCACGCCCTGGGAAAGGCAGAAAAGCCACATTTTCCCCAGATTTGTGGTATCTGTCATGGAATCAATGCTTAAGGGCTGCGATATCCATATGAGCGAGCCAGAGGGTTAACAACTCATGCTTTCTGATATTTTTAAAAAATATGCTGACCACGTCAGGCATTATTGGTGTGTACCAAAATAAGACTGCCATCTAGCCCATCTGCCATGCTGCGACAGTGCATGTTGCTATGTTTTCCACTTGAAATCTTCATTTTAAATATCCGCAAAATCACACATTTTAAGCTTTCTCTTTTTATTAAAAAAAAAAAGAAACGTTATTGTTTTACTTTGATCTTTTTTGTGCTCTGACTAATCTCGAAAACTCCTTACAAGCACTGGACTACAGGTCACATAATAACTTTTTGGAGGTTGAACTAGGAATCTGTACTTACGCTGTTGGTCTGACACCACCTTGGGATTCTGTAATCTCACTGTGTCAAAACATTCAGATCCTGTTGGTCTGCCATCCAGAATAAGATCTTCTGATCTCAGGGTGTCAGGCTTTTCAGATGGCAACCCCGGGCGGAGGTGTTGAACGGCATCGTACGTGCCAGGTGGCGAATACAAGTATTCCGCTGTATTGGAACTGGAATGATAGCTGCCGCCCAAACTTGTACATCACAGGTTAGCAATGGTAAAGACAGAAGATTTCACAGTTTTGCAGTTCTTCCCTCCTACTAGATTATATTATAATTTTAATTAAATATGAGATTTTGTTTGGGTCTAGTAGCCGACTCAAAAGGGCTGCTTGGATACAAGTGAGCTGATACAAACCAGTACATATCAGTGGTTCTGGTAAAGGTGAAGACTGAAAATTGTACAGTCCTGAGGTCACAGTCCGGTATATTAAACATGGTATGGATACGCATTACTTACCGAAACTTTGTCTTAAAGGAGCCTTAAAGCGGAAGTAGAAGGCATGGAGTTCCAGTCTTCTGGCGGAGTGTGCTGTCGTCGGCCACCTGAGCATTCCCGGCAATTCTTCGACTGGTGGAGAATCAGCTGTGATGGCATGATAGTGCAAGCGCCACCTCCTCCACCACCACCGCTTCCTCCGCGTCCATTCCCATTGAAAAAGAGTGGTAAGTGTTTGGGTATTCTTAGCAGCTGTTGGAACAGGCTGTAGGATAGAATACAATTTATCAGTTTAGTCAATTTCAGGCCTAGCAACCTAAGTATACGTGGGTGATAAGAGTCATCTCTCTAGGTTAAATTCATTCTATTGCTCTCTCATAAGACCCAAAACTGTCCGGTGCCTGAAGGAAATCGTAAGGACAATGGGCTTGTGGGAAAAAACGTCTATATGATGAGAACTGCATTTTCAAATACTGATTGACTGCAATGTCAAAAATAAAGACAGTACAGTCCCTACATTGGCAATGTCAGACGGTACCATAATTGACTGAGCAAATTCTGCAAGCCTGTCCACTATATTTAGACCTTCGGCGATTAACCATGTATAAAGAGCAAAGTGTGCCAGCAAGCTATGAGGAACCACGGAGAATCTGCAACTGAAATGCGAATTCACAGTGGCAGCCCACCTGACGGTCTGATGTGAGCATATGAAACCGAGCGCCAAGAAAAAGGAGAAAAAGAAGTTATGATACTGGCTATAAAAGTTTTACAGCCATTGATATTTTAACGTTTTTAAATGACATTTTTTTTACGCCAGTAGTGCATCAAGCATACGATGCCAGACCCACATCTTTATAGACCAGCTAATGGGTGATGTGGTCAAAATCCCGCTGGTCGCCCTCATTTCCCTGTCACTTATCATACATCAGTTGATAGGTGATGTAATTAACATCACGCTGGTCGCCCTTATTTCCCTGTTCATAACTATAGACCAATTGATGGGTGATGTGGTTAACATCTCGCTGGTCGCCCTCATTTCCCAGTCCATTATCATGCACTAATCAATGGGTGATGTGGTCAACATAAACTGGTCGCCGATATTTCCCAGTCACTTATCATACATCAGTTGATAGGTGATGTGGTCAACATCCCGCTGGTCGCCCTCATTTCCCAGTCACTTATCATACATCAGTTGATAGGTGATGTAATTAACATCACACTGGTCGCCCTTATTTCCCAGTTCATAACTATAGACCAATTGATGGGTGATGTGGTTAACATTTCGCTGGTCGCCCTCATTTCCCAGTCCATTATCATGCACTAATCAATGGGTGATGTGGTCAACATAAACTGGTCGCCGATATTTCCCAGTCACTTATCATACATCAGTTGATAGGTGATGTGGTCAACATCTCGCTGGTCGCCCTCATTTCTCAGTCACTTATCCTACATCAGTTGATAGGTGATGTGGTCAACATCTCGCTGGTCGCCCTCATTTCCCAGTCCATTATCATGCACTAATCAATGGGTGATGTGGTCAACATAAAATGGTCGCCCATATTTCCCAGTCACTTATCATACATCAGTTGATAGGTGATGTAATTAACATCTCGCTGGTCGCCCTTATTTCCCAGTTCATAACTATAGACCAATTGATGGGTGATGTGGTTAACATCATGCTGGTCGCCCTTATTTCCCAGTTCATATTCATGGACCAATTGATGGGTGATGTTGTCAACATCACGCTGGTCTCTATTATTGCCCAGTCCATGATAAAGGACCAATCGATGTGTGATGTGGTCAACATCAACGCTGGTCGACCTTTTTTGATAGTCCATTGTCAAGAACCCCGTTCAGGTTGGGTTGGCCTGTAAGCCAAGGTCCTTGTTTTTGTTTTTTTTTAACCTGACCTCAAGTTCTGAAGGGAAACGCCAGTTCACAACGCTATTGCAGCTCAGAATCTTTAGTGGAAACGAGAATGTTGAACAGAATTAGAGTCTCAAGCCCATTAATTAAAACAGAAGGGGGCTGACTGGTCTCGAGGCATGGTGTCCGCCTCGAGTGCTAGAGGTTTCGGGTTCAATCCCCGGTAAGTGCTGAGATTTTCTCACGTGTACTTGGATTTCTAGTAATCCCCATTGGTCTCTGGGTAAAGAGATCGTGCATTGCTGCGCACGCAAAGAAAATCCCTTGGCATTTGGAAATCGAAAAGAGTGGCTATGCAAAATTTGGAGTTCAGAATGTTTCTAGATCCTCGCCTGTGCACTGTGCTGAGCTTTTTCGGACTTACACTTGAGTTCGAAGAAAAACGGAGCACTTACGGGTTACTACCCGTGTGCCGTGATGTTGATCCGTTGCTTAAACCTCAGACCTAATTAAAACAGAAATGGTGTGATGTTGTTATACGCCACGTGCAAACCGCAGCTCTTCTTCCACTTCATTCTCTTCTGGGCCATTCTTTCAATATCATGAACGGAAACTAGTCATGTATCTATGGCCTCTCTCATCACTGTTCATCTAAGGTTTCTTTTAGGCATCTTGGTTTCTTCAGTCTATTTCTGTATCATTTAAGTGACTCTTTGTGATTCCCTGTTCGCTTCACGCCAGAATAGGTTCAATGTATCGCTATCTTTGTCCTGACTTTGAAAACAAGGTGTTGTTCAGACATTTTTCTTATCACTTTGCCTGTCATTTATTCGTAAAGATTATGCTGTGTGCTAATAAAATCACATTAGCTTTAGATTCCAAATAACTAATTATGATTTTCTTAGGGCTATCAAATATAGTATGCCCTTGATCTATTCTATCATTTAGAGAGGTTATATTAAAGTATCTAGCCCGTATATTTAGATTGTATGTTGAATAATTTGTTACATACATCCAATAGAGTGGTTATAATAACTCACCTAACCCCTATATTTGGACTGTTTGTTGAATATTTTGTAAATTCATACTAAAAAATATAACTTATCTAATCCGTATATTCAGACCGTTGAATTTTTTAATTGAATTTTTTTTTTTTTAAATCTTGGAGTGTTATTTATTTCAAACGCCTAAAATCGCAGATTTAAAATAAATTCAAGTAAAACCATTAGGACAGACAGAGTTACTGCGCTAAATGACTTCTTTGGCTCTTGAGCCTAGTCATCCAGGTTCTCCACTTCTCTCTCGCTCTGTCTTCCCCACCCCCCCCCCTCTCTCTCTCTCTCTCTCTCTCTCTCTCTCTCTCTCTCTCTCTCTCTCTCTCTCATTTTTCCTCATTTCTGTCCACACAGAATTGTGCTGGCCCTTAACCCATGGATGTGAAGGTAAACCACCAGACAGTGAATGTCAAATCGACATGGACTTCTGGCCTGATAAATCGGATAGCTCCGCAAAACGAGTGAGACCCAACACCCAGTGCGTTCCGTGGAAGCCAACCAAATTACCCAATGAATTTGGAGTGATCAAGTACCCACCTCCATACACACGCTACTGCAGGGACAGAGAAAAACCTCTCAATTTTGTGTGCAAGACATAAACAGACAACAAGCAACTTGCGAGGGCTGTGTTAGTAAGACGTGGTTCAAATATGTAAGTTTTACCCCACCAGGACATTAAACAGAGCGATAAACACCCGCTAACTCAAAGTGCCACCATGCGGAAGAGGATCACCCATGAAGGCTCTTGGAAACGCCGTTGAATCGTTAGGTTATATTGGGACCCCGGCGAAAGGCAGGGTGGGGCTTGAAAATTGCTACGAGTGACGATTTATAGTAGTAATATTGGTAATGGTTCCAAAATTAGCCCAGTTTTTCTCATGACTCATATGGTTACTAGATGTTGACATACGTTTATTTCAATAGAGCCCTAAGTACTTGCTCAATAAATATATACCTTTATACAAGTACAGACGTGTAAAATTTGTGTCCTGGTCCGTAGTAATGCCCTAATATTAGGCTTGCTTTGAATTCGGACTTTTTTCCCCAGTTAGTAACCCTAACTCTCCCTGTAGTAAGCGTCAGTGATATTTTCCTTATGATTTCCCTTTGTTTGTGCTTTACGTGTGCCAGACATTAATGACGCGTAAACTGATATTCGGCAGGTTTGATTAAACATCAATTTCTCTCTATTTGTACAGCGTTGTTCACTTTATTTTTGATTAGTACTATGTTGGGGATTATTATATTCCTTAATAAAAAATATGTGGGATATTATTTCATAAACAAATAGTATCATTATGTATCAGGTCCTTTGTATCACGGTCAGCATGAGAGAAACTGTCTCTGGCCTGCTTTCCTACCTCGTGCACTGTAAGTCCAAGAAGTCATTTATATTCTGTGCCAATCTATGTGTTGGTCGGCCCCTGTCCATCCTTTCAGGTAACATGCCTTCTGCTAAATTTTTGTGTAGTTTGCTGTGGTACTTGATGTGGCCAAAATGTTTCAGCTTCCTAGACAAGATGCTGTTTTTAGGCGATTTTCCTCGACGTTCATATAATTTAGGATTTCAGTATTTGTGTTTATTGTTGTCCATGGTATTCCAAGAATCTCTCTATAGTTTTTCAGCTCGAAAGCCCCTATTTTCTTTCTTAATGACCACGGGATAGTCCACGACTCACATATTGCATCATGGAAGATGAGTGCTCTTAAAACTGTGATTTTGATTTCCTAGTTCGTGCTTAACCATAAAATTGTAATATTGTTTTATCTTTTTACTGCTATTGCTATCCTTCTTTTGATCTCTGTTGAAGTGTTTCCGCTGCCGTCTATTATGGAGCCTACATCTTTAACGTTTGTGGTATTTTCAATATTTTGTTTCATCGTTTATTGTTATTTTTGGACGACAGGCAGTATTGTCTGAGGACATTATTTTTGTTCATTTAAATTCAAGAACAGGTTTTGCTCTTCATTGTGTTTTTGTGCAAAAAAGACCCCCCCCCCCCCCCCCCCCCCCCACACACACACAAAAAAAACAAAAAAAAGTATGTAGTAATACCACACTGGGATCCACTGTTTATCATTCCGCCACTGTTATATCAGTTGTATCAGAACATAATTGTATCTACTTGATAGCATGTTACTTTCTTCAAGTGCAGGGTGTCAAAAAATAGATAACTGTTTTATTGGATTAAACGGAATAGTTGCAATCTGCTTTTTTTTTTTTTTTTTATTCAAACCCAAAAGTGCCTCCTCGAGACATTGGGGTCAAAGTTGAGAGATTGGTGTCAAACCTGTAGGTGGCACTCACGGAAATTTTAAACCAATTACTTTTCAGATTGAATGCATGGCAACGATACACGGAATGTCATGAGTGTTTAGCATTGTCTTCTTTAATAATGACTTAAGGGCTGAAATATTCGTCCATGTGTTTTTTGGCTTCTATCGGGTGTAAACTGCTTGTTTGAGGAGAAATGAATCATATTCATTAATTTAATTAATATTAAGTATATAAATTGATGACTTATTTACACAAAATCACTTCTGTCTGTGTGTATATGTGTGTTGTTGTTGTGTGTGTCGGGGGAGGGGTTGGGGTTGCGTGCCTGTGTGTGTATTAGAGGTGATAGACTCAGGTGTGGTAGTTTTTTTTTTTTGGTCTCATAGCTGCCATGGAAGTTAGGATAGTAGCTGGTAGTTGTTAGTTTATCCATGCAACAACAACAAAAAATACAACAACAATAACAACAACAACAAAACATTAGAAGAGACTACTACTTTATTTGTCATATCGATATTACAAAAAATAATTTCTTAAGGACCCTTTAATCAATCTTATCCTAAGGAGATTGCAACAAACTTTACCTCACCTAGCCTACAACCACGTCTGCGTTACCTAGGCTGCAACCAAGTCTGCATTACCTAGCCTACAACCGTCTGCCTTACCTAGTCTGCAATCAAATCTGCCTCACCTGGCCTGCAACCAAGTCTGCCTCACATAGCCTGCAACCAAGTCTGCCTTAACTATATGTAATCAAGTCTGCCTTACCTAACCTGCAACCAAGTCTGCCTTAACGAGCCTGCAACCAATTCTGCCTTATCAAGCTTGCAATCAAGTCTTCCTCACCTAGCCTGCAACCAAGTCTGCCTCACCCAGCCTGCAACAAAGTCTGCCTTAACGAGGCTGCAACCAAGTCTGCCTCACCAAGCCTGCAACCACGTCTGTATCACCTAGCCTGCAACCAAGTCTGCCTTAACGAGCCTGCAACCAATTCTGCCTTACCAAGCCTGCAATCAAGTCTGCCTCACCTAGCCTGCAACCAAGTCTGCCTCACTTAGCCTGCAACCAAGTCTGTATCACCTAGCCTGCAACCAAGTCTGTATCGCCTAGCCTGCAACCAAGTCTGCCTAAACGAGCCTGCAACCAGTCTGCCTTAACGAGCCTGCAATCAAGTCTGCCTTACCTAGCCTACAACCAAGACTGCCTTACCTAGCCTACATCCAAGACTGCCTTACCTAGCCTGCAACCAAGACTGCCTTACCTGCAACCAAGTCTGCCTTAACTATATGTAATAAAGTCTGCCTTACCTAACCTGCAACCAAGTCTGCCTTAACGAGCCTGCAACCAAGTCTGCCTTACCAAGCCTGCAATCAAGTCTGCCTCACCTAGCCTGCAATCAAGTCTGCCTCACCTAGCCTGCAACCAAGACTGCCTTACCTAGCCTACATCCAAGACTGCCTTACCTGCAACCAAGTCTGCCTTAACTATATGTAATCAAGTCTGCCTTACCTAACCTGCAACCAAGTCTGCCTTAACTATATGTAATCAAGTCTGCCTTACCTAACCTGCAACCAAGTCTGCCCTAACTATATGTAATCAAGTCTGCCTTACCTAACCTGCAACCAAGTCTGCCTTAACGAGCCTGCAACCAATTCTGCCTTACCAAGCCTGCAATCAGTCTGCCTCAACCAGCCTGCAACCAAGTCTGCCTCATCCAGCATGCATTCAAGTCTGCCTCATCCAGCATGCATTCAAGTCTGCCTCATCCAGCATGCATTCAAGTCTGCCTCATCCAGCATGCAATCAAGTCTGCCTCATCCAGCATGCAATCAAGTCTGCCTCACCTAGCCTGCAATCAAGTCTGCCTCATCCAGCATGCAATCAAGTCTGCCTCATCCAGCCTGCAACCAAGTCTGCCTCATCCAGCCTGCAACCAAGTCTGCCTCATCCAGCCTGCAACCAAGTCTGCCTCATCCAGCCTGCAACCAAGTCTGCCTCATCCAGCCTGCAACCAAGTCTGCCTCATCCAGCATGCAACCAAGTTTGCCTCATCCAGCATGCAACCAAGTCTGCCTCATCCAGCCTGCAACCAAGTCTGCCTCATCCAGCATGCAACCAAGTCTGCCTCATCCAGCATGCAACCAAGTCTGCCTCATCCAGCATGCAACCAAGTCTGCCTCATCCAGCATGCAATCAAGTCTGCCCTACCTGCCTGCAATCAAAGTTTGCCTTGCCAAGCCTGCAAGCAAGTATGTCGACCTCATTTTTTAAACTTTCTGCTTTCTGTTTCTTCTATCTCGATTCTGACAAAGGGAATTTTTTTTCAAACTACAAAACCACTTCTGCAATCTTGTCACCCATTTAGTGTTCATACCCGCGTCGCATCCCCCCCCCCCTCCCCCATCCATTGAATTATATTCGTTTTTAAAGGATGTTAAAAGGCAGTGTTCCACTGTATTGCACCAGTTTTTATTATGTATAGCTCAGATTTCTTCTACTGAGTATTTTGGCCATTGACGAGAACCTGGCACAAACCATATAAGTAAACAATTGACGACTTGGAGATTTTGGAAACGACTCCACCAGCGAACCGAACATCAAAGTCCGAAACTAAATCCTCAACATTAACAACGTAACATAAACGGCTTAAATATCCAGAGGAGACCTCTCTCTCTCTCTCTCTCTCTCTCTCTCTCTCTCTCTCTCTCTCTCTCTCTCTCTCTCTCTCTCTCTCTGTCTCTCACTCTCTCTCTCTCTTTCACTCTCTCTCTCTCTTTACCTCTCTCTCACTTTCTCTCTTTCTCTCTCTCTCTGTCTCTCACTCTCTCTCTCTCTCTTTCTCTCTTTCTCTCTCTCTCTTTCTCTCTCTCTCACTCTCTCTCTCTTTCTCTCTCACTCTCTCTCTTTCTCTCTCAATCTCTCTCTCCCTCTCTTTCTCTCTTTCTCTCTCTCTCTCTTTACCTCTTTCTCTCTCACTCTCTCTCACTCTCTCTCTTTCTCTCTCACTCTCTCTTTCTCTCTCACTCTCTCTCTCCCTCTCTTTCTCTCTTTCTCTATCTCACCCTCTTTACCTATCTCTCTCTCAATCTCTCCCTTTTTCTTTCTCTCTCTCACTCTCTTTCTCTCTCTCACTCTCTCTCTTTTTATCTTTCTGTCTCTCTTTCTGTCTCACTCTCTCTCTCTCTCTCTCTCTCTCTCTCTCTCTCTCTCTCTCTCTCTCTCTCTCCAAACACTTACCAAGTAATGAAGAATGTATACTGCATGCTCTACATGTAAGATTCCACGTCTCTACTTTATTAGCCAGACTAGAAAAACAATAAA